GAGAGAGAGAGAGAGAGAGAGAGAGAGAAAGAGAGCACAGATTTTAGGGATCGTCATGCATAAATGGTGACTGCTTTGGGTGATGAGTGGATTAATTAATTTCGTTGTGGTAACCACTACATAATGTGTAAGTATAATGTACAATTAGCATGTCACAGACCTTGAAGGGTCAATTAAATTGTTTTAAATTATAAAAATTATCCTTTGTTGCCTGGCCTGATGGCAGAGGCCTGTAGTCACAGCACTAGGAGGCTGAGGCAGGGCCCATTCTGGCAACTCAGCAACTTACTGAGTCGCTGTCTTAAAGTAAAAAATAAAACTAAAATAAATAAAAAGGCCTGCAGGTGTAGCTCAGCGTAAAGCCCTTAGGTTCAATTTCAGTGCTGAAAAAAAAAAATCGTAGCTGATTATTCTCCCTTGCTTCTACTTAGCCCAAAGCCTCTTGGGTTGTGGCTTCATGCATAGCTTTTAGGGAGAAACAGTGCCTGAAGGGTGCAACCCCTGGTGGCCTCTGTGGTCCCGGAAGATTAGGGGGATGGATGGATGGCGGGAGTTTGCAGCTTCAGCTGTTGTCTTCCGGGGCCCACTCCCCAGGACGCGAGCTGCTGATTTTTCCAGCAAAGATCTTGCATTGCTTAGTTCCGAACAGCATGAAGAATAAGAAAGAATCCTGAGAAGTTTCCTCCAGTTGTTCCCCTCACTAGGGGGACCACTCTCCTCCACCCAAGAGCCACACATTTCCCAGTCCCATGATGGCCTTGGTTGCAGGCAGCCTTCCTGCGCTTCCTGGTTCTGCCTGAGTCGTCAGCCCGAAGAGTCTCTGATGCTTTCACATCCTGTGGGCCCTGTGCAGCTTCGAGGCCGGATCGAGCCCTTGCCCACGTGGAGAAGCCAGCTTTTCCCAACAGTGATCTATGAACTTTAAGGATTTTCATCTCCATTTAATGTATATCTTCACCCAGCTTCGCTTTAACTGGCTTCCTGAATCAAAAGCATTATGCATTGTCTGTCTGAAACCAGCAGGCAAGGTACAAACACACAGAAGCAACAAAAGGGCACGTTTTCTCTTCGTCAGAATAACTATAGCGTTATGAAATAGTGTGGGGGGAGGGACATACCAGTGTCAGGTACACTAAGATTTTCCACTAAAGTGAATAATGTCCACTATGGCCTTTGGTTCTCTTATTATTCACTGTATACTGTGACGCATTTTTGAGGTGATTGATAAATAGATCCAAATATTTTAGTATGGTTCATAGTTAAGCTAGCCAGGTACTTAAGCCAATGCACTGAATCTAGGCTTTGTATTAAAACACACCAGGTCCAATACTTAGATTATGAAAATTGATAACACCACACAATAACAGCATTACAGTGGATCACCACTTTGACAACTGCTTAAAAAGGATACTTGGGCTCCTGGAGGAGAGGCCCATGAAGAGTCCGTACAGGCTGTTTTGGTAGCCTCGGGGACAAGAATCCCTAGACTAAAGCAAGTTTACTCTACATAGAAATAAGAAGGGAGGACATCTAATTGTATACTCTTTGTGCAGCTTCTGTCCTCTACACAGCAGCCAAGCAGATGACGCCATACCGTACCAGGGCGATGCCTCCCCCGTAGTCTCTATCGCATATCATCCCTTGAAAGATGGCACCGATGTAACTGGGAGCGTCTCTGTAACTTCAATTTTACAGTGGGTCAGCATCACATACTTCAGCCAAAGCCAGCCCAACCAGGACCCGGATTTCGCGGGACATTTTTAAATCAGTGCCATGATATGAAACTCATAAGCATGTCCACCTCCCATTAGTGTAAACACAGCTTAGGATGTGGCTAGTGAGTGTTTCTACATCTTTTGAAAACAATAAAATAGATTTAAAAAATAACTACAAAGTGCCTTTTCATATGGCTTGATGTAACATAATGATGCTTCATATTATTCTCTGTGTGTTTTAGATTAAAATGAATCAATCTCTTGAATTAAAAATAAACAAAATTCTTTAAACTGGGAAAATTAAGGCAACAGAGCTGACAAATTGGGAGAATCCTCGAGGAACCAAAGCCTCTTTACCTGGCCAGAATCAGCAGAGGTGCACACCTGGATGGGCAAGGGACAGGACCAAAACTACTAAAGCTCTGAAATTCTTACATGTAATTCTTATACACTACATATATTTGGAAATAATGAGAAGACAAAAGCAAAGAACTTACTAAATAGAAGGCCAGGATGATATGCTAAAAACATCACTGCAGTGTGGTTATGTTGGCTTGTGGTGCACAGCCAGACATTTAATAAAGTGGTGAATAATCCAGTTTATGGTCCAAAGATGAAAATGGAGCTTTCACCACAAGCCACCAGATAAGGGGAGGGACACCAGTAACTGTGCCACAGATGTGGTGGTGTAGGTGACAGAAAAAGTGACAGAAAAGCTGTTACCTACAGGCTGGCCAATTGTCAGAAAGTGGATCAAATTGCTATGCTTTCCCCATAGATAACGTAGTAGTAATTCCAAAACAGACTTACACAAGTAAAAATGCCATGTCGTGTGGACGTAGAACAAGGTAAGATTTTTTCCAATTTTGAAATCTGTGTAATAACTCATTAACATCTCCGGTGGTTGGGATTTTGTTCTCATCAATCCAAAACTCCAGTGAAGCCAGAATTACCGTAAGATTAAAGGAGCTAAAAAACTAGAACAGAACACAAATAGAAAACAGGTTCAAACAACATGGCCTATGTGGATTTGATAGTGTATCATCTGTGAAAAAGAGTGATGGTACGTACTAGACAACCGAACTGTCAAACGGGCCCAGGTCTTTCTACTTATAGGTAGTAAATGATACTAACAGTATGATTTAACATTTTAAAAGGTTTGCACTTAAGCAAGCCCCATGGTGAGTGGATTATTTAATTATTACAGTAACCTAATTAGGGCTGGGTGTGGTGGTGCACGCCTATAATCCCAGCATGCTGGGAGGCTGAGCAGGAGGACTGCAAGGTGAAACACAGCTTGGCACATTTAGAGACTTAGAAAGACCCTGTCAAATAAAAGGGGACAGGACTGGAGATGAGGCACTCTGTGTTCAGCTTCCCAACTTCCAGCATTGCCAAACACATTGAAAAACGTATATAGAGATAAATGACAGGTAGATAGATAGATACGGTCTTTTTTTTTTTTTTTTTTTTTTTTGTATTTTATGGAAAGGTCTACTGGGTGTTCAGGGTCTCACTACTAGATCGGACTCATAGTGATCCGCCTGTTTACAGCCTCCCAAGAGCTGGGATTACAGCAAACACACCCAGTCTCATTGCTGTCTCAGTGCACCCTGGGGGTGGGGTGGGGCCAGCATGGCAGGCCTGGGGATCAAAACCCAGGCCCCTGTGCCTGCGCCTGCTTGCAGGCACTTTAATCCGCTGAACTATTTGGCCAGCCCTGATATGATCTTTTTTGAGACAGGGTTTCACTACATAGTGCAGGCTGGTCTTGAACTCATTTTATTGCCCAGGTGGGCCTCATCCACACAGGATCCTTCTGCCTTAACCTCCTGAATGCTCAGATTACAAGCATGCACCACCACACCTAAAGTTTTATTTTTAAAAATTATATTATTTGTACATATGTACTACATCATGTTTGCATTTCTTGTGAAGCTGGTCCCCGTGCCCAGCACATTCTACTCTCTTTTTTCGTCCACTTTTCCTTTCCCTCTACTCATCCCTTGACTTCCCCCTCCCCTTCTTTAAAAAAAAAAGGAACTATTTACAATTATCATTGTTCCTACTTTACAGATAGGAAATTAAAACCTAGCTCTGCCACATCAGAAGACATAATATTCAGGCAGTGTCATAAAAGAAGGTGTGGGAATTGTCTCAGGAGCACAACCCCTTGCAGAAGTTATTTAAGAAGCAAACACTTACAGCATTCATCAGTCCAACCAACTGGAAAATTTTCTGAGTGACAATAGCTATATCACCACCGAGATGCTTGTACTGAAAAATACAGGTACCTTTTAGAGCTACATATGCATTGCTTAACACTCGATTATTGTGGTTATTCTGTTTAATTTAATTCTTTTTAAATTAATTTTATTGAGAAATAGCAATGAGACAGTTTCAAAACAGGTTAGCAGGACAGCTACAATAATGTACAAATATACATTGCATATTGTTTTCATAGTAGTTATTTGTAGTACAAGATGCAGACATGATATCCTGTTCAAACACTATTGGTACAAATCTTTCTTCTTATTGAACTAAGAGAAAGTAGCTGTATATGTATAAACACGAGGTATAAAAAGTAAAACTATATTAAGATGCTGAGCTGTAAAAGGCTCAAGTCAGCAACTTCTGACATTGCCAGTCCTGCAGATAACCCACTACTATTATGGTCTACTGGACTATATTGGATTATTTTGCTGAATTCATCCACCTACAATATTTGAATGGCAATGGAATACCCATCTCTGACAAAACTAAGCAAAAAAGGGGACGCAAATAAAGGACCATTTTGTAGTGAAAAAATATATATCTGTATATTCTGTTTAATCTTAAAATTATTTAA